TTGTCAGCTTCGGTAACCGCACCATAGGGCTTCCGGTTACGAAGCAAAGACTCTCTAGATGGATAGTAGACTCCATCTTGCTAGCGTACTCTTCCTTGGGCCTCCAATGCCCCATTAGAGTATGTGCCCACAAGACTAGAGGCATCGCCTCGTTGTGGGCATGGTCCAGTGGTGTGTCCATTGCGGATATTTGTGAGGCGGCCGGCTGGGCCTCGCCGTCCACATTCGCAAGGTTTTATAACCTGGAAGTCCCGGCCTTGCAGGCCAGGGTCCTTTCCGCTTGAAGTGGCACGCACTGTGTAAACAGATATGACAGAGAGCCCTTGGCCGTATCACGCCCAAGTTCTCTGGCATGCTAGCGTACTCTTCCTTGGGCCTCCAATGCCGCATTGGCGTACGGGTCCACTCGACTAGAGGCATCGCCTCGTCGTGGGCATGGTCCAGTGGTGTGTCCATTGCGGATATTTGTGAGGCGGCCGGCTGGGCCTCGCCGTCCACATTCGCAAGGTTTTATAACCTGGAAGTCCCGGCCTTGCAGGCCAGGGTCCTTTCCGCTTGAAGTGGCACGCACTGTGTAAACAGATATGACAGAGAGCCCTTGGCCGTATCACGCCCAAGTTCTCTGGCATTGTGTCACCTGTTAGCTCTCGACCCCTGGGTGTCGACGTTTCGTGAATACTCTGGAACAATTAACCAGGTGTGAATAATAGTGTGACCTAGAAAGCTCAGCCCGTCTTAGCCTTGGGTTATTGTTGACTTCTCTATGAGCATTGGTTGCTTATGGAAGTTTATACCTTTAGTCGTTCCACTACATTAGCACGGCGTGATTGTACTATGTTCCCATATGCATCTTAACCCTTTGACGCGTACGATCACACCGGTATACGCAAACTAACATGGCGGCGCCCATCACCCGGTATAGCTCAACTAACACGGTCGATATAAAAGTTTTTAAACTACCAAACAGATTTAATTGCGCACATTTCAGAATCGGAATATCAGATATTTCATAATATAGTGAGCATGTTTGTGAATATTTTGAATAAAACAGGAAAAACAAAATAAAAGCGATCCGTGTGTCATACAGAGCTATTGTGGCTGCGTTGTGTCACATGACAAGCATGACGCGTCGCCATGGAAACATTAAGGCGATACATTTTAAAATAACGGTCGCCTAAAAAAAACTCACGCTGGGGGCTCAGCTAGAATATTTTAAACTTACGTGCGAAAGGGTTAAGCAAGACGCAGTATGAGTGAAGTATCGAAAGGGAACGTACTTGGTTACTAACGTAACCTCGGTTCCCTGAGATACGGGAATGAGTACTGCGTTGCCTGCCGTGCTATGTAGCTGCACGACTCAGTCGTCGCTTCAGTCGAAGTAAACCTGAGAATCCTGTGGCGAGCGCCCGCTTATATAGCCAGATGCCCCGCCCATTCTGGTGGGCTTTGGCGGGCTTCGTCGCCAATCCACCTTTTTCTTGTCGTAAAAATGGGCGCGACCATTTGGAAAATATATGGGTATGGCTTCCGGTTTCATCTGCGTCCACTGCGTTTTGCTGCTTGATATTGAAAGTTGGTGTGTCTTATCATATTATTTTAATGTATTATCTGAAATTATGAACTCACTGGTTTGTAGTGCAAACAGTTTTACCGTTTACTGCACGTTGTTATTCTCGTTATTTACCTATAGCGGCTAATGAACCGGAAGTCTCACCCATAGGCTTACTTCCGCGTTGAAGAAAAAGGTGGATAGGCTCGTGCAGCTCCGCTGCTGAGCTATTGGTTAATTTTTTAAGCACTGCATGAACCAATGTTTTTTGTCAACTTGTTTTCTCATAGGCCTCATTGATCTGAGCCTATGCGCCTCAGTTTTAAGCGGAAAAAGGCATTGTGGTTAATTTTAATAATATAATAATTAAACTGAGTTGCATAAGCTCATATCAATGAGGCCTATGATTAATCAGTTCCAGAAAGAAAAACAAAATGTATGCTAATTGAAAGGAAACAAGTTGATAAAAAAAGACTGAATCTAGTGTTTGGTAATAATAGTATTAGCAATTTTCTGTAGGACGGTCATTTTTTCCTGGTAATACCACAAGTCTTCAAGATGAATAAATAAATAAATACATACATATAAATAAATAAAGAAACAAATACAAAAATTATATTTTTTTTGGGGGGGGGGGGGTTTGTTATTCCCTATGTGGGCAGGGTCAGAA